GAAAGGCAAGCTAAGGATCCTAGGCTGTGGTCCCTCACTCTTCAAGTGCTCAGATCATAAAGGATGTTGCCACTTGGAGAGAAGCTTACCACTGTGCACATCCCCAGCTCCAGATACCTGGCCCAGAAATTTTCTGGGGAGAAAACAGGTCATAAAACAGATAGCACCTAATGTCTTCTCAAAAGAACTGACTTCAATTGCAACAGAGAGGGAAGAATTTGAACCCTAGGGTAATCTCAAGAACAGCACAGGTTGACCTGGCTGGTGTGGCTCAGTGATTGAGTATTGACACATGAACCAAAAGGTCCCTGGTTCGATTCCTGGTCAGGGCACATGCCTGGGTTTCGGCCTTGATCCATCATGGGGGGCATGTAGGAGGCAGCCAATAGATGTTTCTCTCTCATTGATGTTCCCATCTCTCCATCCATCTATCCCTCTTCCTTCCTCTCTCTAAAATCAATAAAAAAATTACTAATCTTAAAAAACACACACAAAGAATAGTACAGAATGTAGTAGACAACTGGGAGGTGATTCAAGATTCAGGCTAAATTTAGGCCTGCTGGTTTGAAGGAGGAAACCAGGTAAAAAAAGAGCTGGACAGAGCCTTCCTGAGGTCAGAATAAAAATCAAACACTGACTCCAGAAACTTTTCCTTCACAGGAGCCATATTTTAATTGGAATATATTGTAGAGCAATTTATGAATCAGGCATTGTTGAAAACAACAGAGTAATCAGCTGGCAGTTATGGAGTTTAACAGTTGGGTGTTATCAAGGAAGAAAGGAACAGAGTCCTGCCAAAACCACCGTCACCCCAGGATTACTATGAGAATACCCAAAGCTTTTTTCCCTGCTTGAGAACAGCATCAGAGGCTGAACCCTGGAGGTGGGGGAGTGGGGAGCGAAAGGGGGAATTAAATAGATGTCACTAAAATAACCCAGTCACTCACTATAAATAAATATACAAGCAAACAATAGAAGATACCCAGAGTTACTACAATATATTATTAAAAGAGATGCAAAGAAACAAGAAAGTATGACCAATACCTTAGGAAAGCAGGGAACAGAAACTCCCTATGAGAAAGAACAATTTTTCAGAAAAAGACCACAACCCAATCAAAGGAAACTATGATTAAGGAAGTGAAGAAAGAAAGGTAACAATGCTGCTTTAACAATTAGAAAATATTAATAAAGACTTAGAAAAGATCTATTTTGAGTTGACAGTAATAATGTAAGCTGAAGAACACTGTTGGAAAATAAAAAACCTCAGAGGCCCTGGCCGGTGTGGCCAAGCAGTTAGAGCATCGGCCCATGCACCAAAGGGTCATGGGATTGATTCTTGGTCAAGTGCAGTACCTGGGTTGCAGGTTCAATACGCAGCCCTGGTCTGGGCATGGGCCTCCTGCACGTCCCCGACTGAGGGCCAAGCCCACAACTCGGGCCATGTGCCCTGACCAGAATCGGACCAGCAACCTTTCCGCTCATGAGTTGAAGCTCAATCACTGAGCAACACTGGCCGGGCACAATACACTCTTTGATGCTGGGCAGTGGCAGTGGCTGTAGCTTCAGTCAGGCATATGACCACAGGGTTAATAACTGACACTCTACAGTGTATTCGCTGTTAGATGATTTTGCCCAACTATAGATTAATTTGAGTATTCTGAATAGTGTAAGGTAGGCTGGCTAAGCTATGATGTTTGGTAGTTAGGTGTATTAAAAATATTTTCTACTTATGATATTTTCAACTTAGGATGGGTTTATCAGAACTTAACCCCATCATAAGTCAAAGAGCATCTATAAATGAAAATATTCCTTACATGCTCCAAAATATTTTGGGGACACAATATAATCACTGATGCTCTGTGGCTTTGAATCAGCAACAAATAGTTTAACTATTTTTAGTGTACTCTACTTAAAAATACAGGCAAGTATCTATTTTAGAATATGGAATTTACATACACAAAGTATAGACACATAATCCCTCACACCAATCATGTGAAGTATTATTCCTATTTTATAAATACGACAACCAAAGTGCAAAAAGACTAATTTGCCAAAGTTGCACAGGCTTGAAGTCAGGTTTTGTTTAGATTTCAAAGCTGTGTTCTTAATAACCACATCATGATAACTAATGCCTAATGGCACAATATTCACTGATCCACAAAAAGTAGCTAATTTAGACCATCTCATGCCCTGATATTATCAGATTAGTGAGATTCCATGATGAAGAGCCTCAAGGAATATGTATATCACAGATTTGGGCTTCTGATAAAATGGCACTACAACCAACCAGGCATGCAGTTCTAAGTACAGTGTGGTAAAATAAACAAACATAAGCTGGCAGAAAAAAAAATCTGTACCAGCTGTAACACTAAACTACTAAATACTAATCATAAATGGATTAAACTCTCTCATTACATACAAACTAGTGGCCCGGTGAATGGATTTGTGCACACTGAAAGGAAATTAATTAGAAGGTGGCTGGTGGGGTGGGACTGGGCGAGAAAGGCCTGACACATCTTGGAGCCAACCTCCCGTGGTACCTCCCCAGCTGGCTGCGCTGTGGCTCAAAGGCAATCTGCAGAGTGAGTGAGTGAGTGAGTGTGTGTGTGTGTGTGTGTCCCCAGCAGGTGGTCCCTCGGCCTGACCTGCAGGGATCGGACCTAAACTGGCTCTCCGACATCCCCCGAGGGGTCCTGGAGTGTGAGAGGGCACTCTGCAAAGTTGCTGTTGCTCAGCAGCTCCTGCGTTGAACGTTTGCCCCCTGGTGGTCAGTGCGCATTATACCTACTGGCTGGACAGTCGCTTAGCCTTTTATATATGTAGATATAGATACCATTTACATAAATACAACCAACCACATTTAAAAAAGTTTTAGCCTGGCTAGTTTGGCTCAGTGGATGGAGCATCAGCCTGTGGACCGAAGGGTCCCAGGTTCGATTCTGGTCAAGGGCACATGCCTGGGTTGTGGGCTCAGTCCAATGTGCAAGAGGCAGCCAATCGATGGTTCCCTCTCATCATTGATGTTTCTCTCTCTCTCTTACTCTCCCTTCCTCTCTGAAATCAATAAAAATATATTTTTTTAAAACAGTTTTAGCCCTAGCTGGTTTGGCTCAATGGATAGAGCATTGGCCTGTGGACTGAGGGGGTCCCAGGTTCGATTCCGGTCAAGGGCCCATTCCCAGGTTGTGGACTCAATCTTCAGTGGGGGGCGTGCAGGAGGTGGCTGATCAGTGATTCTCTCTCATCATTGATATTTCTTTCTCTCCCTCTTCCTTCCTCTCTGAGATCAATTAAAAAAAAAAAGTTTTAGTCTAATTTATATGTAAAATTATAAACTCTATTTCATGTGCCTGTGTTAATTAATTTTGCTCATGTTTTCATACCCACATCTGTTAGTATATAATTAGGTGCAAAGAGAAAAGTGAAAAAGGACACAGACCAGCATAGAAACATGGGTTAGCCAGACTGCGTGTGTGTGGGAAATGATCCAAGTGGAAAGGATAGGGGGAAGGAGAGAGTTAGACAACAAAAAACTGCCTGTATGACATGATCTCATTTATGTAAAATTATGTTTGTAAAGAAATCAGGTGGGAAAAAAAGACCACAAAAAAAGCATAACAGAATGTTTTAGACTAATACTTATTCATCTGATATTCATGATATTTTAATAAGGGAAAATGCAAGATAATGTCTATTTCATTAGAATCTATCAACCAATTCCAATACATATAAATATATATTTTTATGCACATATGTTTGAGCAGGCCAATACAAACAATGCATAATAGCTTGTGAGCACTGGTGACCACAGTGGGAACATGATAGTTAGCTTTCCTTTTATACATCTTTACACTGACTGCTTCACTTGTGTCAACAAGCATAATTCAGTGATAAAAAATTCTAATAAAAAATTTAAAAAGTATATAGAGTTACAGAAACAAAATAATATTAAGGCCAATAATATGGTAAATAACTGAGAACTGATTATGTGCAAGGTTGGCCTTTGTCATTAAAGAAATGTTTTAATTTAGTATGGATTCACTAAGCTTCTACTATGGGCCAGACCTCTTTAACCTGTGGCAGCCAGAGCCATGCGAATTCCTCGGGGGCATGGGGCGTGTGTGGAGTGTGTGTGTGTGTGTGTTTCTGACAACACATAAAATGAGAGCCAAGTCCCATTTCCCAGCAGATTCCCTGAGACAAGTATGTCAATCCCTTCTTTATCCATAAATACCACTTGTAAACATAACTGAGTGGCAACCTCTCGTCAGCAATTTTAACTAAAGACCCCTTCTTATAAGAGCACTGAGGTCCCTCTGACAACCCCATAGGGATGTCTTGAGAATAAATGAAGGACTGTAATACACTCTGAACAAAAACTACAGGTACCCAATTCAAAGGAAAATTACTATTTTTAACACATTTAAGTTTTTTCAGAGAAGCTTCTGTTCTTCCAAGCTGAAGTAGCTAATGGAATAATTCATGACTTGCTTTAATGCAGAGCTACTATCATTTGCTTTTCTTATATACCCCCTTTCCCCTTACTGATAAAAAATGAGCTTCCCAGAGCCTCAAAAATTTTAGTATGATAGTTTGCTACTGATGTTTTATAAAGGAAACCTATTCTCATCAAACTCCTATGAAATCCTTAAATATTGACAAACAAATGCTCTAAAGTCCAAGGTCTATGGCCAACTATTTTATTCCACTTGGGTAAGTAAAAGGAGACTAAAAGAAATATTAGAAAAATAGATTGTATCATAGTTATTCTTTTTAAAAATTTTTAAGTTTATTTATTTATTTGTTATTATTACTTTAAATTCGTTATTGTTTAAAGTATTACATATGTCTCCTTTCCCCCTTATTTTGTATCATAGTTTTTCTATTCTACATTAGAGAATGATCTCAGGTAATGCCCTGAGGCAACTTTAAAATTAGCAACGACCAAAATCATGATAAAAAACGAGAAGCTATAGGATTAGGTTCTTAGTCATACTCACCTTAAATTATTTTGTTGGCCAGGTGGAATGACACTATAGTAAACTGGAATTCCTGTTGTGGGCATAGATCCTTGATTAGATTGATTAGGGAAAATAACAGGCTGTTGATAAGTCTGATGGGCAATTCCTTGAGAACCTTGAGGCAGTGAAACCTAAAATTTAAAAGACAATTTAAAGGGAAAAGGTTCTTCAAACTCTTGCAAATGTTAATGTCTCTAGCCTTCATAAACTTTTCAAGTACAGTAAACCCGTGATTTTGTGGACCTTGATTTATGGACTTCAATTAAACAAACAAAATTTCGGATCCATATGTTATATGTGGAAATTAATACCCTGTTAATTTAAAAATGGCCTTAACCAAGATTTGCTCATAATTAAATTAACATATATTTTTTTGTGTTATTAATTCAATATTATTTTTAACAAATTTTAGCGAATAGGCCATATGCTGGGAAAAGCGCTGTAGTAATTTTGCCAATATAAACATTACATATCTACAACTATAGTCTACATATTTATATCCAAAAGTAACACTGCTCGTAAACAATGTTCATAAATAATTAATGTTCGGGGAATGATTAACACGTGATCACACCACATCACTCGAGGTAATTGGTTCTGAGGTAATTGGTTCTGTTGTCGCCTGGCATGACTTTCTGCAGCAGTTATTTTTTTTTTTTTAAATATATATATTTTATTGGTTTTTTACAGAGAGGAAGGAAGAGGGATAGAGAGTTAGAAACATTGATGAGAGAGAAACATCGATCAGCTGCCTCCTGCACACTCCCCACTGGGGATGTGCCCGCAACCAAGGTACATGCCCTTGACCGAAATCGAACCTGGGACCCTTGAGTCCGCAGGCCGACGCTCTATCCACTGAGCCAAACCGGTTAGGGCTCTGCAGCAGTTTTAACGCATGCTGGCTGATGTTCCGATGTGCACTTAGCTAAGCCACACCCCCAGCCGTGTGCATTTTTTAATTCAAGATGACTGGTGAATTCATACATTTACTAGACCTATTCAGTAGGAATTTAAAATTACAGTAATACAAATGGAAAACTTCTCTGTGAAATTTTCATACATACTTAATTTTAATTAAACAAATGTGTTTACATAAAACAGGTAAACTTGTCAACTTTTTAACATATACATTTGGAAAACCTACTTTATTACATAATGGACTTTCAGCTTTAACAGATACCCCATTGCCCGAATTAATCCGTTATATTGAGGTTTTACTGTATGACTAGTTAAGGAATAAGCTAAAACTGTTAACAGGCTGTCCTGATAAGTTAGCCATAACACTACCACTTTATTTCTATGATTTTTTTTCACCAGCTATTGTTTTTCACTAGCATTTATCAATTGTACAGTAGACTAGATGCATTAGATTTTTAAAAAAAGATAAGATTCATGTCCCTAAGTAAAAGTTATTTTAAAAAATAAGCTGTTTGCAAATAAGGATGACCATTTGAAATAGAAAGAGTAATACAGTTCACTTCAAGTAGAGCTGAGTAAAACTCAGGTAGGGCAACAGTGAGATACCCTGTGGATCAGAAGGAGTATGAGCCTTGAAGCTTAACATATCTGGATGTGATACCAGCTTCACCACTTTGCTATCTATGTGACACTGGGCAAGCAGCTTTACTATTCTGAGTTCCCAGTCACTTATCTGGAAAAAAAAAAGGATGCCACCTTCATCTCCCAGGAGGTATTATCTTTATTACAATATCCAATTACAGGTTCTAGCACAGTCGGCATTTGGTGAATAGTGGATCTTTTTTCTTTTTTAAAATTTCTACTTATTTTATTTTTTAATTTAAATTCCTTATTATTGAAAGTATTACTATGTCTCCCCTTCCCCCTTTGGGTTTTTTTTTTGATTTTCAGAGAGAGAGGAAGGGAAAGGGATAGAGATGGAAACATTGATAGAGAAACATTGATTGGCTCCCTCCTGCACATCCCCTTCTGGGGATCAAGCCTGCAACCTGGGTATGTGCCCTGACCTAGAATCGAACTGTGATCTCTTGGTTCCTGGGTAGATACTAACCACTGAGCCACACTGGCTGGGCACATCAAATCTTTCTAACAACCCTAGTAAGATACTTTTATCATCCTTGTTGTATAGATGGGGAAGTAGAGGATAAGTAACTTGTCCAAGTAACTCAGAGCCTCAGTTTGTGCAATTCTCTATACTTGGGCCCTGTGATTTATAAGTTCATGATTAATTTACAAGTCTGGCCTATACAGCATGTTTCTAAATGTAACTGGTCCTCTCAAAATACACCGTAATCTCTTAATTACTTTCAATTTGGCTCAATCATTGTAATGAGAAAGTTACTAGTGTGAATATCCAACTCTGTATAACACAATATTATTTCCGTCTTTTTGTCTACGGGGGCAGTGTGAACATTCTGAGATTACTAGAGGCCTGGTACATAAAATTTGTACACTGGGCGGGGGTGGGGTGAGGTGGAGGGGTTGGGTTCCCTCAGCCCGGCCTGCGCCCTTTCGCAGTCTGGGACCCCTCGCTCCTTACTGCCCGCCTGCTCGCTGCTCCTTACTGCTCAGCTTGCTGCACCTTAGCAGAGGTGGGAGAGGCTCCTCCCGCCACCACAGCTGAGCTTGTCGGACGCCAGCCATGAGCCTGGCTTCTGGCTGAGCGCTGCGCCCACTGTGGGAGCACACTACCATCAGAGGGCAGCTCCTGTGTTGAGCGTCTGCCCCCTGGTGGTCAGTGCGCATCATAGGGACCGGTCGTTCTGGTCATTCTGCTGTAAAGGTCGCTTAGGCTTTTATTATATAGACTATTTCTGGTTGTGTCTAAGTTAATACATATACAGGGTAGACTTAGGAAGAATGATACAGCTCAATCTACATGATTTAAACTATAGAATCTATAGCTCAAGCATGTCAAACTTAAACGAGGCATGCGGCACACTGGCTGTGAGTTTGACATGCTTGCTGTAGCTAGTGGTAAAAAAGAAAAATGAAGTACCAAAAGAGAAAGAGGGAACAGTACTTGAGAATGTACAGCCACAGAATACACTCTACTGAGAACAGAAGACTTTTCTGGCTTATTTTTTAGGCAACAGTTTATTACCATCCAGCTTATCTATCAAATGTAGGAGGAAGTATAAAGAGGCTGTCATTCATTGCTCATCAGAGTAAAATACTTCTCATAATCATTCATTCAATGTAAGGATTACATGAAATACCATGGGAAAATAATTTATACCTTGTAAAAAAAATATGCTATAGAAATAATAACTTAGCTCTGAAGCATTTTTAATATCTAGTTCCATTTTATAAAAGTACACCAACAGGTTATACTTTTTTTAAAAATTACATTCTTTGCCCTGGCCAGTTTTGTTCAATTGTCAGAGCATCAGCCCATGGACTAAACGGTTGCAGGCTCGATTCCCGGCCTAGGTTGGGGTTGTGTGGGAGGTAACCAATCGATGTGTCTCTCTCACATTGATGTTTCTGTCTCTGTCTCTCCCTCTCCTTTTCACTTTCTCTAAATACCAATGGAAAAAAATTTCCTTGGGTGAGGATTAACAAAAAGTAAAAACCAATACAAATTATATATCTTACACTAGACTGTGAGCCACTAAGGCCAAGAGCAAATCTTATCTGATGCCTGGGCATCTTGTCTAATAGATGCTCAGCGTACTGGATTAGGTAGCATGACCAGGGTTCTTGAGAAGGGAGAGTTCCTTAGTACTGATCCTATAGACCAGTGATTGCGAACCTTTTGAGCTCGGCGTGTCAGCATTTTGAAAAACCCTAACTTAACTCTGGTGCCATGTCACATATAGAAATTTTTTGATATTTGCAACCATAGTAAAACAAAGACTTGTATTTTTGATATTTATTTTATATATTTAAATGCCATTTAACAAAGAAAAATCAACCAAAAAAATGAGTTCGCGTGTCACCTCTGACATGCGTGTCATAGGTCGCCATCACTGCTATAGACTGTCTAGCTATGAAGAAAGTAGAAGATGGAAAGTATGATGAACCTAGGCTCATGCAAGGAGGACACAAAGTAAAAAGCATGCAAAATATGAGAAAAGAAAGATGTAAAATTTACTTTCATGTCCTGGCTGGTGTGGCTCAGTTGGTTGAGTATCATTCTGTGTACCAAAAGGTCGCCTGTTTGTTTCTGGGTCAGGGCACATGCCCAGGTTACGGGTTTGAATCCAGTTGGGGTACGTGCAGGAGGCAATCGATTGATGTTTCTCACAGCAATGTTTCTCTCTCTCTCTAAAACCAATAAAAATATTTTAAAAAACCTAGTTTCATAATGTATTTTTTTTCTTTTCCCTTAATTGCCTTCTATAATTAGGTGGCTTCAAGGCTAGACATCCTTGAAAATTCCACATTTTACATTTTATTTTTTTAAATATATTTATTGATTTTTTACAGAAAGGAAGGGAGAGGGAGAGTTAGAAACATCGATGAGAGAGAAACATCGATCAGCTGCCTCCTGCACACCTCCCACTGGGGATGTGCCCGCAACCAAGGTACATGACCTTGACTGCAATCAAACCTGGGACCTCTGAGTCTGCAGGCCAACGCTTTATCCACTGAGCCAAGCCGGTTAGGCCACATTTTACATTGTAATTTCAATTTTGACTTTCTGGAATTAAATGGAATATGCTAGCACCTTTGCTCATATACTTCCCTATTCCCAGAATGTCTTCCTCACCAATTTATGCCTGTTATTTTAAGAGATAATTTAAGGTTTATATCTTCCCAGAAGACTTCTGTATTAAGTCCCTAATCTGTTCATGGTTGTACTTCATGATTCATTCAGTTACCAGTCTGAATACTATAAAAAATTTAATTATGTTTAGATAACATATGTGTACATTTATCTTCCCAACTAGATTGGTTTAACCTTGGGGAGATGAATGAAAACGATCTTTGGATTTCTTAACATTAGATTCAGTTACAGAAAACCATCTATATATATAAAAGCCTAAGTGACCAAACAACTGATTGCTATGACATGCTTTGACCACCGGGGGCAGACGCTCAATGCAGGAGCTGCCCCCTGGTGGTCAGTGCGCTCCCACAGCAGGAGTGTCGCTCAGCTGACTGATGGGTGCCAGACATTGGGCTCATGGCTGGTGAGCACTGCTGCAGCAGCACAAGCCTCTCCTGCCTCTGTGGCAGCGTGCTACTGAGTGGCAGTGGCGGCAGGTGCAGTGGGGCCGCGATGAGTGGGAGTGGTGCGGCACCTGGCCACCTGCCACTTTGCACACTACTACATGCCTCAGGGGATGTTGGACTGCCGGTTTCGGCCCGATCAGCAGACCGGGCCAAAACTGGCAGTCCGACAACCCTCCCAGGGGTCCTGTATTGCAAGAGGGTGCAGGCCAAGCTGAGGGACCCCACCGGTGCACGAATCCATGCATCAGGCCTCTAGTGAGGTAATAAAACAAACCCACTTGCAAGTCATTCCAAAAAGAAGAAGGGAGGTAAAACACATTTCTGAAAATGTGGCACATTGTATTAAAAAATATGACTTATTCATGAAACAATCGGTATTTCTACTTTAGAACTATAAATTAAAATCCATGTCATTTTTAATACATGTAATTTCTTTTGGGGTTGAGGTGGGGGGAAAAAATCAGTTCCAGCATGGGCAATTGCACAATCTCCTTTATTCTATAAGCACTGATAGCCTGTACTCCATTTCACTGTTTCAAATACCTATTACCATTGCTATTTTCCCTCCCATTCCACTTCCCTCAAGAGGCTGAATTATATAGTAAGATACTTGCTTATATATTTAAGTAGTCAGAAACATAGTTAATGCCAGGCAAAATTTACTTGTCAATATCAAAGTAGCTCAATATTTTTCCCTAAAAATTAATGAAGCAAATGAATAAAGCAATAAAATGAGGATAAAACAAAACTGCTATGACTAATAAAAGACTATAAAGTTATGTATTATAGAACACTGGATAACCTTTTAATCCCATATTAAAAGAAGAGAGATGATGCATCATAGGTATACATTTTATTTATTCTAAATCACCTCTACCCAAAGGAGGTGAGTGATAACGTACCTGATATGATGGCACTGAAGGGTAGGGGATGACCACTCCTTGAATCTGATTTCCTATGCTGTTGGGTTGGCCACCAACCAGGCTCTGACTCTGGGGTTGCTGAATTCCAACTATTCCTTGGTAGTTTTGCTGCTGGTTGGGCATAACTTGATAACCTGTAATGACACAATGAGTTAAATCCTGTTTTGAATTTATTTACTCTAGTAGGGTGTTTTGTACTTTAAGCAAGTAATTTGTGTTCTAAAATGATAGAATTTTGTTCTAAACAACAAATTTCAAACAACCTTCTATTATGAGAGCTAACATTGAAAAGATTTACTATGTAGGTAACCCAAGTCAGCTACATTTTTTTTCTCCCTTAAAATACATTCTAATGAAATTTGTGTACAAAGATTCTCTTTATAGCTGTAGAAATTTATAGGGATACAGACTTGGATTACACAGACAATTACTATTTAGTATGTATTAAAATATTATCACAACTGGTTTCTGGGGACCAGGAGTAGCTACATAATTTGTGGGGCCAGTGCAAAAAAAAAAAAAAAAAAAAATGTAGGATACCTTGCTAAAAAATTGAGGTTTTTCGTATTGGTAATAGAACATTGCTTTAAGCATGGGGCCCGTGTAGCTGCATGCCCATGAAGCTGAAATTTCTGGGGGCCAAATAAAGAAGGAAGGGGGCCACTTTTACAGAATGCTTGTATGTTTTTTTTAAAAAAATCACACTAAGATATAAATCCTTATATTAGGAATGTGTCAAGAGCACAAGGAAAATGGAGTCATTTAGCAATTTTTTAAAAAGATTATTTCTTTATTGTATTAAGGTCACTAGAGAGAGAAACAGATGCTTAATGAGATTAATCTACCAGGAGTCACAAATCAAAGAAAAAAGGACAATACTTCTCTAGCCTGTTGGTAACTGAAGTAGTCAGTTAAGACTATAAGTTTACTTTTATCGACTGAATTTATCAGTTATTTAAATAAGAATCTGAAATAAGTTTTGAGTAGTGAATATGAATTGTATTTTGTCTCCTGAACCTAAGAAGATTCCTTATGTAAACCAATTAGTTTAAGACTTATACACATTATTAAAAGCTACAACAAATCCTGGTAAAAAAAAAAAAAAAAAAAAAAAAAGGGTCCAGCTGGCATGGCTCAGTGGTTGAATGTTGACCTATGAACCAGGAAGTCACGGTTTGATTCCTGGCCACGGCACATGCCCAGGTTGCGGGCTTCATCCCCAGTGTGGGGCATGCAGGAGGCAACCAATTAGTGATTCTCTCTCATCATTGATATTTCTATCTCTCTCCCCCCCTCTCTCTTCCTCTCTGAAATCAATAAAAATATATTTAAAAAAAAAAGAAAAAAAAGGAAACCAGATAAAAATAAATAACTAACCTTCTAGTTTAAGGGTATTTAAAAATTTCTACAAAGATGAACCAAACTATGACATTGCCTATAAACACTTCCATAACTGAAGGTCAGTGAAATGATTTCTCTGACAACACCACTAATATATTTTGCTATCTTATAAATATCAGTTTACATTTTCATCCTTGTTAATCCCTACAGCAACAGAAATGGCAAAGACCCCACCTTAAGTAGTAGACAACAGTATGACTATAGTTCCCCAGAAGCCTTGATGATTCTGCTCAAAGATTAAATAACTAAATAAAATCTAGCAGTAACCTTCCCTAAAAATATAACTATAAAGTATATCTGGTAACTAAGCAAAATATTAACAACAACAAAGTAAAAATGAAGTTATAGTGAATCCTTTCATATTTCTATGGCAACAGTGCTTTATGACCACAATTCAAATGACTTTTCACCAATCTAACTTTGTACAAGAAATGTGTATTCTAATCCTTATCTGTAATAAGTGATTGACAATATACTGTTTCTTAAACCTTACCCCCTGTGAATTTCGTATAATACTTAAACTTGTAGGCAGATAAAGGACAAGCAGAAGAAACTTCTTTCTGTTCTTTAGTATAGTTATTATTCAACCCTATTTTCAGTTTATCAAATGACAACTATTTTAAATTAATACCCTAAATACCAAAACACTGTAAAAAAATATACTGACATACTTCCACACCTAGGGAAATAAAGGGCAGGAATTGAAAATGGGATGTGAATATAATATGTTTTCTTGTGTTGGAAGTGCCACCTCTAAACACACCCATTACCCCTCGCCCCCCCCCCCCCCCACACACACACACAGAGGCATGCATGTATATATTGCAGCATTAGAATTTGGGCCTAGCCCAAACTGGTTTTGCTCAGGGGTTAGAGCCTCGGCCTGGGAACTGAAGGGTTGTACGTTCGATTCTGGTCAAGGGCATGTACCTTGGTTGCAGCCCCAGCCCCAGTCAGGAAGTGTGTGGGAGGCAAGGAATCAATGTGTCTCACATCAGTGTTTCTCTCTCTCTGTTTCTCCTCCTCTCTTCCACTCTCTCTACTGATCAATGATTCTCTCTCATCATTGATGTTTTTATCTCTCTTCCTCTCCTGTCCTCTCTGAAATCAATAAAAATATACTAAAAAAAAGAAAAAAAAAGAAAAAAATACCATCGGCGTGAAGATTAACAAAAACAAAACAAAAAAGAATTTGGAACCAAAAGACTTATATTCACGCATATTAGTATAACCAATGGACAGAGACACTGGGGGTGGTGGTGGTGTGGGGGCTTGCCCGGGGTGGGAATGGCGGGTGGGGGGAGGGTCAATTGGAGGAAAAAGGAGACATATGTAAAACTTTAGACAAAAAAAAAATGTTGCTGACAAAAAAGAATTTGGTCTTAGTTCTTTATAGACTAACTTCTTATAATGAACTCGTCAGAATTACAGCCCACTAAAATTTAAAAGAAAAATGTGGACACCTGGCAGAATTCAGTGTAATATAATCTTACTTAAAATACCTTGACTAAGAAATCCCCCTAAAAAACTTCAAGTAATTTTCAACTTACTTTTGTAGTTTATTCACAACATTTTCCGTTACAGGATGCAACTTTGGAAAAAAAAAAAAATTAAAAGAAAAGAAAAATGTGCTTCTGATTTCCTTTCCCTAAATTTACTAATGTCCCTCAAAAGCTCTGCTTCCTGTAAACTTAAAACTAAATAATTAATAGTTAATTGGTTATTTTAAAAGTGCAATGGACATGGGACGCTGGGGGGTGGGGGAGGCCAGGGGATAGTCAAGGGCGGGGAAAAAAAAAAAGACACATATGTAATACCCTTTGTAATACTTTAAGCAATTAAAAAAATAAAATAAAATAAAAAAAATAAAAAATAAAATCAGAAAAAAAAAATTCAATGTGAAAACTTTAAACTTATGAGTATTTCAATAAAATACTTGATTCACCTGGAAGCCTTTCACCTAAAATTCTCTTAAGAAAAGAAAGTCGCCGAAACCGGTCTGGCTCAGTGGGTAGAGCGTCGGTCGGCCTGCGGACTGAAGGGTCCCAGGTTCGATTCCGGTCGGGGGTGTGTGCCTGGGTTGCGGGCATATCCCCGGTGGGAGATGTGCGGGAGGCGGCTGATCGATGTTTCTCTCTCATCGATGTTTCTAGCTCTCTATCTCTCTCCCTTCCTCTCTGTAAAAAATCAATAAAATATATTTAAAAAAAAAAAAGAAAAAAAAAAAGAAAGTCTGAGTTAGAAAGCTTTCAATAGCTGCGGGTTTCATGTCATAGTGGTTTAATGTAGAGTCACTTGGGCTCTATACTATGAAATTTGCATCAGTGAATTTCCAGTGATATTTCAGATTCCTGAATGCTACTGAATCTCCATTAATACCCATGGCTACTAAAAGGGATAGAGACACACACACACGCACATATCCACAAAACATCATGCACATTTTGAAAATGTGAAAACATACCATGACATCTAAAACATGTGACTCCAGCACCTAGGCATTTGCTACAGACAGTTGTAAAAAGAATGCTATGAGCCCAGGGTGTGTCTGGTGGGTGATATAAAGATGAGTAAGACATGGTGCCTATCTTTTCAATTAGATATTCTTAGCCATGATACTGTACAGGGTAGCAGAATAAATAGGGTCTTATAAAAATACGAGGGATAAATTAATCCTGACTGAAATGAGGTGGTGACATTGGGCTGGGACTTAAAGAAAAAAGTCTGGAAAAGTAAAAAAATGAATAATATACTTGAGGGACAGGGCACAGTCAGGAGGGGCTGGATATGGTATACGGAATGAAAAGTAGATGAGGTAGAATAGAATATTGGTGGAGAACCAAACAGTTTACAAGTGAAAGAACAATGAGAATAAAACAGAAGTTCTAGATTTTAAAGACTGTGAAAATAGAAAAATAACTAATATTAGTACTTCATTCAGAAGCAACATAAGAACACAGGAACATGATCTTAAATAATAGTGAAGCTATTAAAAATAAGAATGCCAAGCACTTTAAAAGAAAATATCTTCTTTAAACTCATTTTAATTTCATGATTTTATTCATTGTCTTATTTCACATCTCTTAAAACTCTATAGTTAATCTACATATATAAAAGCCCATTAACTGGAATGGTGGAATGACCAGAACGACCGGTGGCTATGATGTGCACTGCAGCAGCCAACCAGTCTGATCTGGACCCCGATTGCACCCTCGCTCCACGCGCTGGCCCCCCCCCCCCCCCCCCCCCCCGCTCAGCCCCCGACTGGCCCCCAACGCCGCGATCAAGGGCGGGGCCGGCCAGCCAATTGCCTGCAGCCCCCCCCCCCACCCCCGTGCACGAATTTGTGCACTGGGCCTTGGGCCTCTAGTATAATTGTTCTATTTGTTTACTCATGGTTCTAATTGTTCACTCATGGTTTTTGTATAGCTTTAAAAAATCCTGAAATATGGTGTCCTTTTTAAGGGTGAGATTAGAAATAACAAACAAAACCCCTCAAAACACTCATATCAGTTATCAGATAGTCAAGCACTCAATATTTATGCTTACTGGCTAAAGAATAGAGAAAAGCATATTCTTAACAGAATGAAATAAAAATAATATATATTAAAATCATAAGATATATAATGATTATAGAGGATAGGCTCTTACGCATAAGGGAAGGTGTTGCATTTAGAGAGCAGCATGGGCGGTTCACCTACAGTGACAGTGGGAAGATGTTGCATATGGAAAG